TGAGCAAAGGCAGTGTGGCACAGAAAGGGAAGGTGTCAAAGACAGAGTCGCTGTGTTCCTCCTCTCAGCCAGAGAGAGTCACAGAGGACTCAGAGGACAGTGAGTCATTCTTTGACATAGTTGAGGTAGAAAAGGGAGAGGAGTATTCTTTCCAGAGGATCAGATCCTTTCTGGCGGAAACTAAGGGGTTGAGGGGGGTGAAGTTAGAGAATATTTTTGCTGATTTGCAGATATTTCACAATTCTGCCAGGGCTCTCATGCGGCGCCCAGAAGCCTTAGGGGAACCTGTCTTCAGCGGCCCAGAGAGGGTTAAAGAAGATACTTCAGAGGATTAGAGAGGAAAATGCAAAGAATGATGAATAAGTACATCTTGTTTTTATTTTTTCTCTTTTATTTTTCTTCAGCCAGGTTTTTGATTTTGTTAGGATGCAACTATAATTTAATTATGAGTGACATAAAGCTGGGCTCTTTAAACATTAACGGTGCTCGGGGGGATGCTAAGAGAGCATCTTTATTTACTTTATTAGAAAACAAGAGTTTAAATGTGACGTTTCTCCAGGAGACTCACAGCACTGCTGAGAACGAGAGTGACTGGAGGAGGGAGTGGGGGGGGGAGGGTTTCTTCAGCCATAAGTGCAGCAATAGTGGAGGGGTTGCAATTCTCTTTGCAAGGGGCTTTACACCCTTCTCCTGTACGGTCGATGAGGTCATCCCAGGACACTTGTTAAAAATAAATGCTGAATTTGAAAAAGTTAAAATGTTTTATAAATATCTATGCTCCCTGTGTGGGCGCAGAGAGGCTTTTGTTTTTTGAGAAACTGAAAGATACTCTTAGCACCTGTGATAGTGAGGAGTATCTGTTCCTGGGGGGTGACTTCAACTGCACAGAGAACCCTGTGCTGGATAGGAACCACCAGAAACCGCATGCTGCCTCAAAGAGTGCCTTAATAAGACTGACAGAAACCTTTGAGCTGTGTGATGTGTGGAGGCACTTCCACCCGGTCCAGCGGCAGTATACGTGGGTGCACTCTAGAGATGACCTGTTGTCTCTGGCTAGGCTGGACCGTGTCTATGTGTTTAACCATCACATTAATGTAAGCAGAAGCTGCTCCATCAGTCCAGTGGGAATCTCTGACCATTCACTCGTACAAGTCTCAGTTTTTATTAATCATGTTAAGTGTAATAGTGCGTATTGGCACTTTAATGCTTCTCTGTTGGCCGACAACCATTTAAAAAATGTTTTAAAGTTTTTTTGGGAAAACTACCGTTTATCTAAGAGTGAGTACAATTCTCTTCAGCAGTGGTGGGATGTGGGTAAAGTGAAAATCAAGCAGCTTTGCCAACAGTACACTTTCAATGTCACAAAGGACATGGCTAGATCTCTGAGAGCTCTGGAGAGAGAAGTGGTGGAGCTGCAGGGATTGGCAGATTCAACAGGAGAGCGAGAACATGTTAAAGTTTTCAAAAGTAAAAACTCAGCTCTGTCTGACCTGCTGGGGTTTTCTGCTCAGGGTGCTCTGGTCAGATCCCGGTTTCAGAACATCGTGAAAATGGATGCTCCCTCTCACTTTTTCTTTGGTCTCGAGCGTAAGAATGGTCAGAGGAGGCTGATGCACTCCCTGCTATCCAATGCAGGGCAGCTGCTTCAGGAGTCCGCCGACATTCGTCAGTGTGCTGTGGAGTTCTACAAAGAGCTCTACAAAACAGAGTTCCAGGCCGAGCCAAAGGTGGCGCAGTCGTTCTATGAGGGCCTTCCTAACGTCCCTGAGGAGGACCATGCAGAGCTGGAGGCAGAGCTCTCTGCCCAGGAGCTGCAGGAGGCCCTGCAGAGCATGCAGAGTGGGAAGGCTCCTGGCATAGACGGCCTGCCTGCAGACTTCTATAAGGCTCTCTGGCCGGTTATAGGAGACGACCTGCTGAGTGTGCTCAGAGACAGTCTAAGTAACGGGAGGTTGCCTCTGAGTTGCAGGAGAGCTGTGCGCACTCTCCTCCCTAAGAAAGGAGACCTGCAGGAGATTAAGAACTGGCGTCCTGTGTCTCTACTCTGTACCGATTACAAGCTGCTTTCCAAAGTGTTAGCAACGAGGCTGAGAAAAGTGATGGAGCATGTCATTCACGTAGACCAGACATACTGTGTACCCAGCAGCTTGATAACTGACAACGTGACTCTAATTCGGGATGTTTTGGACCTCTCCGGTTCATTGGGCTGTGAGCTTGGTCTGATTTCTCTAGACCAAGAAAAGGCTTTTGACCGAGTTGAGCACCAGTACTTGTGGCAGACGCTGGAAGCTTTTGGGTTCAGCTCTGGTCTCATAGCCAAGATCCAGGTCTTGTACAGGGACATTGAGAGTGTACTGAAGATAAACGGTAGTTTGTGTGCTCCTTTTGAAGCTCAGAGAGGAATCCGACAGGGCTGCTCTTTGTCCGGGATGCTCTACTCCCTGGCCATAGAGCCGTTTTTACACCGGTTAAAGTCAAAGTTACAGGGTTTCTCTTTTCCTGGCTGCAGGGATGTTTTTAAATTGTCTGCGTATGCGGACGACATAATGGTCTTTGTTAAAAAACAAGATGATATCAATGTTTTAACTGAAACTGTGAGCAATTTTTGCAAAATCTCATCTGCTCGAGTCAACTGGGGGAAAAGTGAGGCCTTAGCAGTAGGAGAAGGCATCATTGACAGCTTGTTTTACCTGGGGGCCTTGGTTGGAAAAGGGCAGGGTTAAAGTACCTGGGCATTTATCTTGGTGATGACACGTTTTGTTTGAAAAACTGGGACGGGCTTATAGAGAAAGTGGAAGGCCGGTTAAAGAAGTGGAAGTGGATCCTTCCCAAACTTTCTTTTAAAGGGCGTATCCTTATTTTAAACAACCTTGTTTCCTCCATGCTGGCTCACCGGCTGGCATGCACCGACCCGCCCGTAAACCTGCTGTCCAGGGTGCAGGCTCTCATGGTGGACTTCTTCTGGGACCGCATGCACTGGGTCCCTCAGAGCGTCCTGTTCCTGCCAAAGGAAGAGGGGGGACATGGCCTGGTTCACCTGGCAAGCAGAGGGGCTGCCTTCAGGCTCCGGTTCGTCCAGAGGTTCCTGACTGGACCTGCTGACCTGGTCTGGAGACCCGTAGCTCGGGCCTTATTGGAGCGCTGTGGTGGGCTGGGTCTGGCTGAGTCGTTGTTCCTCATGGACCTGAAAGGATTACGCCTGAATAATCTCTCGGTTTCTATGGAGGTCTCTTCAAGGTGTGGGGACTACTCAGAAAAGAGAGACCAGAGTGCTGTGGCTCACTGTTCTGGCTCCTCAGAGAGCCTGGCCTCACGTCTGAGCCTCAGGTCAGTCCGGGTGATCAGCCTCCTGCTGCAGAGCTGGAAACAACAGCTCAGCCAATCAGAGCTGGCACTGATCGCTGCTCACTGTAACGGACTGAAGTCTCCAAATGACAATGACTCTTTTCCAGAGATGCTATGTTTTCCTGATCTCAGTTGTGAGGGTTTTTTGTTAAAGTTGAACAATGTTACCGATTTTAAGTTTAGCACCATGTCCAACAAAACCTTTTATTATTTGGTGACAAAGGTGCTGAATCAGAGTAGAATCCAGGAGTGAGTGGACACCCAGTGGAGAGCCCACCTGGGCCTGACGGAGGCTCAGAGGCCTCCGCTGACTAAGAGGGGTGGGGACCTCCAGTGGAGGGTTCTCCACGCTGCGGTAGCGGTAAATGCGTTTGTTTCAGTGATCAACCCTACAGTGTCTGATGCCTGTCCTTTCTGTGTACAGAGGGAAACCATTTTTCATTGCTTTCATTTCATTGTGGTCGACTCCTTTGTCTTTTTCAGTTACTCGCTCAGATGTTGATTTTGTTTAATGTGGTTTTTTCTAAGTCAATGTTCATTTTGGGTTGTAGGTACAGCCAGAAGCAAAAGTGCAAAAGTCAGCTTTTGAATTTTTTGTTGGGGCAGGCTAAAATGGCCATCTACCTCAGCAGGAGGAATAAAGTTGCGGAGTCATTGGATACCGATGCAGTTTTGATTTTCAAGCGGATGGTAAAAGCAAGACTGAAAACGGACTACAGTTACTTTTGCTTAACCAAAGATGTGGGAGAATTTGAGGCCATGTGGTGCCTTAAAAATGCTTTGTGTTCTGTGGTGAATGAGGTTATTTGCTTTGTGAATAAAAGTAAACTAAAAATAATAATAAACATAGGCCTATTTGTAAAGTGGGGACACACAAACGGGATTTCGAAAAGTGTCACGGTTAAACTCCTTATGAAGTGGTGAGGTGCCGCTCCACATTGCTTTTCTTCTCGACTGCAACGCTGTTGTGTGTGTGTGTGTGAGAGCGTTTCACATGTGTGTATGACAGATTTTTACATATGTCTGTAAATGATTTTGGTTTCAGTTGTGTGTGTGTGTGTGAGCAGGCTCGGATTGGCCATCGGAAGATTCCCGGTGGGCCGCTGCCGTTGGTGGGCTGCTGCCTTCGGTGGGCCGCTGGCTCTGGCATAAGCTAAATGCAAAGCAGAGGATGAATCTTCACCAAATGTTCAATAACGTCTCTTCAATTAGACGGACAGGCAAGCTGTTCCTTGGGAGGCTCGTGTATTTATTTGCAACTTTGGGAGTCCCAGCAGCTTCTACTGAAGCCAGTCCCCAACTCCGGGGACTCCGGGTGGCAGTATACGCCGTGAAGTTGTTTGCGGCCTGCCAGTAAACCCAAAGCAGAAGAAGACGAAGTGACGTCAGCGACTCATTTGCGTAATCTTCCCTGAGGGAAAAGTACTCCAGTGTGAACGCGATCTGTACTAAATGCCCTGGGGTAATAAGTGCCGGGGCACTGAGTGCCGGCACTAAATACAGCAAAGTACTTGGTGTGAACGCGCCTTATGTCAACACGTGCTTTGTTGCCTTTGTATTGGAGAATTTCCACTTTAACCTGTGATCATTCGCTTGCTACATTAGTACTTTCAGCTGGTATTGTTTCTGAAGCCTCTCACAGCGCTGTAACTTACCTTAATGGTGAAGCTGAGGATCTCGATGCCCATCCTGCCCACGTCTGGAGCTGCTACCTCCCTCACCAGCTGAGCAAACTGGTCTCTGTCCTGATAGATCTGCTCTACAGTCAGGGTACCTGAGAAGACAGTCCTTGTCAACATTTCTATAGCACATGTCCATGTGTGCCTTGCAATTCGAAATGCCAGTTTCACAAACTAGCAGCAGTCTTTTGAAATTTATTTTTTACTCAAAATGTCTTTGATTTATGTAAAAACAAGCATCAGGATAGTCTTAACCCTTCAGAGAAGCATATTTTCCTTTGAGATATGAATGTCACATAGTCAATAGGGTTTAACAATGTGCATAGAAAATACTGCACTGGAGTTAAGAAAATATGCTGTTTGATAACTATGTTAATCATCTGCAACATTGTTGAAATCAATTAATTATTGAGTTGAGTCGTATTTTATACTTTAGGTTGAACGAAAGAAGGGAAATGTATAGACGCCTCCTTTGACATTCAAACGATTAATACGCAGAATAATCTTTAGCTTGAAGGAAAACGAAACAACTGTTATATCTCTCACAGGCTCCGCCCTCTACTGGACTCTATGGGTACTACCTTATCATGCAAGCATTCACCTACTGAGACTTCTATAGACGTAGCCGGCCCCGGGGCGGGCCTACCTGAATGCGCGCGCATCTCACAGTATAAAAGGAGGCCTCGCCTCCTGACTGTCATCCCTTTCTCTTCAGCGAGTGGAAGTGATACACTGAGCATAGACGTCAATAAGAGAAAGAGAAAGAAAGCATGGACTCACCACTTCTTGAGCATCGGACCTGCCCGACATGTCCTGGCCTGATCGCGGGGGCTGATCCGCACCGCCTGTGCTTCCGGTGCCTGGGGCCTAGACGGCCTAGGCCAGTCGCCGGCCTATAACGCCTGCCGGATGATCCCTCGGCTGAGCCGCCGACATCGTGGCGATCATTTCCGGGTGAAGTTCGGTCCACAGGTGGAGGTGGGAGATCAGGACCTCGAGGTGGTGGAGATGGATGAACTGGATGGCGAGGTGCCATTCGAGTTCACCCTCCCGAGGGGCCGGGTGGCCGCGTTCGCGGAGGAGGAAGACGACGAGGACGCCTCGTTGTCTGGTACCTTCGGGTCCGGCAGCCAGGAGGGTCCAACACACAGGTCTGCGCGTCTGGACTTCCCGGCTTACCGCTCCCCCCACCGCTGCCACAGAGGCCTGTAAGCCGCCTTCGGCAGGGGTTTTATGGCCCGGCGCAGCCGGCCTTCGTCTCGCCCCCGTTGCCAGATATCTGGCAGTACGTGGAGCCCCCGCTGCCACGGGACCGAGACACCTTGGAGTATTTGGACAAAATATTCAGGCTCTGAGCACAGATGGCAGCTGCGGCTAATAATCTCGGCGTGCTGGGTGTCTCCCTGATTTCCCCTCAGGCAGACGACGGTGAGACGAACGGAGCTCCCGTGCCCGCGGATCCATACTTTCTCAAATAAAGATGTTGATCTGTATCCAAGTCTGAGTGTCATTTGTTTCCACAATTCTACACTCACACACAATGTTGACCGTACAAATTCCCCACTCGCTGCCCCAGTTGTAGCTCCTGTAAAGGAGGTAGCTAGTGGGCATGCGCAGATGCGAGTGATAAACCGCAGGAAGTGCTATAAGAGCGCTATGTGGGTACAGGGGCATTATGGCTGGCGTATTACTGTCAGGGAACACACTACGCCTAGAGTAAAGACTCAGATTAATGCAGTTTACCGTAGTGGTAAAGGGGACATTATGGTGGAGCGCGCGCTCACACAAGAGCGCGCGGCGGTGCGTTCAGGGACCTCAGTAAAACTTCGGCCCTTTCTGTGTCGACCCTCCATGGGCAAAACTTCCCTTCACGGGGAGTTTTGCGGCGGAACGGGTCACCAGGGAGTACCACAGCTTCATAGCTGAGGGCTTGTCCCCTAACACAATGTTATGGGGAATGGAAACTCAGCTGTGTCTTAACAAAGTGGATGGGGGCAGGAGGGGAGAGCCCTCCACACTATAGTCCACGCACACTCTGCACGGGGTCAGTGTCTGAGTGTGGGGGACATGGGGCACTTGCACTCTACCCGGGCTCCTTAGGGACTCGGGAGAGGTGGTGCATAGTGAGCCCATACGGGGCTGGGGGCTCTTTCCGTCTGCCTATGGGCGGACGGGGGGAGCCCTCAGCACTGTTTTCCGAGCACACTTTTCGCGAGGTAAGCGCGTCAGAGTGTGCTCTGTCAGCCGCAGCCCAGACTTCTCCACGGTTACAACCGAGGTAGAGGTGAGTGAAGTACAGCGGCTGCTAACCAGAAAGCCGGTCAGGGGCAGTGAGGTGGAACAGTGTTGTTGGAGGACAGCGCGTGTATACATCGGGGCTCCGCCCACTGTACCCATAGAGTCCAGTAGAGGGCGGAGCCTGTGAGAGATATAACGAGGGGTTACGTATGGTAACCCTTGTTATATTAGCACAGGCGGAGCCCTCTACTCGGGGCACTGTCTGTCCTAAACCGCTCGCTGAAGAGAAGTGTAGGATGACAGTCAGGAGGCGAGGCCTCCTTTTATAAGGTGAGATGCACGCGCATTCAGGTAGGCCCGCCCCGGTGCCGGCTACGTCTATAGAAGTCTCACTAGGTGAATGCTTGCATGATAAGGTAGTACCCATAGAGTCCAGTAGAGGGCTCCGCCTGTGCTTATATAACAAGGGTTACCATACGTAACCCCTCGTTAGTTGCAGCCCAACACAAATTATTTACACAGGTATTAAGGTGACAAACACAAGTTCTCAAATGAAATGAATGTCCATACCTAAAATGGAGCGCAGGTGTCCCTCCAAAGTCTGCAGAACCACACCTTTGATTTCAATCACGGATTTACCCAGGAACTGCTCACAGGCTACAGCCAGTAAGTCCTGCTCCGTCATCACCTTCACCTGAAGAACGTTACAAACTCTCTGTGATGAGCGTTTTTTGCATTATGCTCATCAAAAGTTCTCAACTGTAAATGAATCGTGACACAAGCATCCACACATAATTAAAATAAAGGAGTTTAACATTTAACCATCTTTATGTGACTAAGTGATACAAAAAAGTAAACAATCTGACCAGACATCAGATTAAATCTTTCTGCACTTATTTGATATTCTGCCTTAAAGACACATTGAAGTGAGCGTACACATATTGAGGTTCACACAGGCCTAGAGATAACAGTTGAAGTCAGGTGAAGCTTTGTGTGTGAGAGAGGACCCTGGTGTACCTGAGCCACCCCTGTGACAGTGATGGCCACCCCCTCTGCTGTCTCCACGTCCTCACAGCGAGGCTTCAGAGTCATGATCTCCAGGGTGATCCTGCAGAAAAACAAGGCACATGTAGTGGGCACTGAAGAGAGGGAGTGAGGGGAGCCAGGTGTGGAATACAATCTGTAGATGTTAAACACTGTTGATCAAGGACATCTGTCTTATCCCCTCTAAGTCACTCAGGGGGCAGTTGATATTAGCGTAAACCAAAAATGTAATATAGTATACGTAAATAAACACACTTTGATTTAATGTTTAATTTAATTAACCACTACCACATGAATCCAAGTACTGGACATGAGCATTTTTCAAGAATTGAGGAATATTTCACAATTTGATCTGTGACATGTTGCAGGACTTTTGCTCAGCGCTTTGGAATATAAACGGCTGTGAATAAATGTTGATCTCTCAGCAGAGATCAACCAGCCGACAGTGACTGCTGTAAAAAATTAACTCCAGAAATGCCACTGTCTCCTGTGACACTGCACATATAAGTATGGGGCACATTTAGCATTCAAACACACTACACTTCTTAGAAAAGTGTCAATGTGTAAGCCGACAGAACTTTTGTACCAACATTAGAAACGACTACACTGTGTGTAATATCAAAGAAAACATGGTGAACCAGCTTTCATCCTTACTTGCTTACAGACTGCTAGCAGGCGACAAAAGTTCATTTCAATTGGGGTCTGTTTATGTTTTATCAAGATGAGTTTGAACAGAGCGCTTTTTATAGTCAAATCCATTTATCTGTGATGATGAGTAGCATTTACTGTTACAAAATAATTTCAATTTGCTTCTAAAAGACAAACTCTATTGCGAGATAAATAGACCTTATGCTTGTATATTCTAACCTTTGGGTGTCCGAGATGAGCCACCACGCCCAGGCCCAGCCCCCCACAGCATAGGTCTTAGTGTCAGAGCCGCAGCAATCACCTGAGGGGGGACAGTTGCATTAGTACTTAAACAATCAAAACATTATTATACAGTATGGTTCCATCCAAAGTGTTATACTTCTGGGTAGGATACTAGTATATTACTGCATCATATCAAATAAGCAACAGCTAGAAGTGCTGTGTTTTAGGGGTCACAGCAGCCAAAATATTGGAAACACTGCAGTACAGCCTCCAGAAACTCTGAAATATTTTGTGTGACACTTCTACAGAGATCCATGTGCATTCATCTTAAATGCGCTGTCCTTGTTGGACATCCTTGTAGTGAGTGTTTGTTTGCATTTAGTTATGTTTCATTTTCAAAACGTTATCCAATTATATATTTAAACGATACAGGGACACATTAAAATCTTTGTACTGTATCTCTGTTAAACTAAGCCAAAACACCTCAGATGAGGATACTGAAAATACGATTAAAAAAAACTCCTTAGGTTTTGTATCTTGAGCTTTTTTTTTTCCTTTTTCCCCTGAGCCCTCCACTAGATACCCACATCTGACTTTACTTGGTATCAGCAGAGGTGAGAAAAGTACTCAGATCTTGTACTTTCACTCACTGTACGGAGGCTCAGTCATTGGTACTTGTTCATATATAAAGCCATGTTGGGTAAACTCCCATCTTATATCTGCTCTCTGATCACACAGAGAGTTGCAGTTACCTATTGCCTAAGATCACATGATGTGGTCTTGTTACATGTGCCGAGTGCAAGGACTGCCTTAGGTACGAAAGCTTTTATGTGCGCAGCTCCTCTTGCTTGGAACAGTCTGCAAATATATTTGAAACTGAGCATTTTGGTTCCACTGCATGTTTTTAAAGCCCGGATAGGTGCAATGCTATTTGATACTGTTGGTACTTGTCAATGCCGATAGGTATGTCAATGTAGCCCTGTAAATATGATGTATGATGTCCTTTATTGTTTTCTGATGTTTTCTGTTTCATGTTGTAACCTACTTGTTGCAGGTCTCCCTTGAAAAAGGGATCGATGATCTCAATGGGACCACCTGGTTAAATAAAGGTTTGAAATGAAATAAAAGTCCTGCAATCAAAATGTTCCTCAAGTAAAAGTAGAAAAGTATTATGATCAAAATATAGTTAAAGTACCAAAAGTAAAAGTAGTCATTGTGCAGATTTGTCCATATCAGAATAATATATATGGTATGTTTTATAATGATTGATCATTCAAGTGTTGTCTCAAAGCTAGGTGCAGCTAGTTTGAATGACTTTGTATACTGCAGGGTAGCTTGTGAATTTACTCCAGGGGGAACTAAAGTCTGATTTAACACTTGATTATATTTCACATCATTCATCCAGATCTGTAAAGTACCTAAAAGGTATTCAATAAATGTAGTGGAGTACAAGTACACAATTTACCTCTGAATAGTATTGGAGTAGAAGTACAAAGTAGCAACAAATTGAAATACTGTAAAGACCAAGTACCTCAAAATGTTACTGAAGTACAGTACTTGAGTATGTTTACAGTACTGGGTATCAGCTCCCCCACCCTAGCTGTATCATCAGTGTGAGCCTGCATGAAGAGCTTTCAAAGACAGCATTTCTGATATTTGACGCATATCACCTGCTAATAGCTATAACACACCGTCGCTGCCATGATGCTAACGAGTTTAGCATTACGGTTTTACATTTGTCGTGATTGACGTTAATGTACAAACACAAATTGAGTTGCTTTGCACAGTAAGCACCCGATTATATTTGGCAATAGCATTTAGATTAGCTATATGGCTACAAACAAGATTATAATTGACGTTTTCATTCAGCCGCCGATGTAGCTAGCCCGTTAGTCTAATATGTGAATGACAGCTAGCTTAGCTCGGTAAACCCAGTGAGGAAGAACCTACCAGAGACCACCAGAGCTTCGTTCGGCCCCACGGTTAAGCAGCTCCCCATGTTGACTCGAAATGAGAAAATAAAAACGTGCAAACAGCGGGTCCTTTACGGCGATGTTGGTATGAATTTAATGAACAGTTGTTTTAATCCGAGGCTGAACGGTGTGAAAAGATTTCCTCGCGTCCCGTACGATGACAGCAACAACACAGCCCCCACCGCCTAACGACGCCGCTCAGTGACGTCACGTTTGTCAACAGGAGAGCCGTGCACGAGAGCCTGTCAATAAACTTTAAAGGTGATTTGATACAAATATAGTTTTTATATGTACAAAAGTGGAGGGGCACGAACAACTTAGATGTGTATATATATGCTTCTGGTGCTTTTTTAAACACGTAAACAAATAGCTGTAGGCTATCCATGGTTCCGATAGAGAGAGGAGGGGGGGTATAAGGAAAACACAGACACTCATCACCGAGGTCACAATAGGCTTGTTTGAGACAAGCGAGACCTGCGCAGACCTGCGCAATTGCGATCAACGTCTTGCTAGTGCGTTGCATGATGGTTAGTCATTTTGTCCGACTTGCTCTGGAGGCTCGCCTACATGAGACGTTGAAATCTCGCGGGACAAAGACGCCCGCAGACTTGAGAGCGAGGCGCGGCGAGGCGGCGCAGTTTCTCTCCACGGGCTAAGGAAGCGAAATGCTTGATGGGAAACAACTTGCTGGGATCTCGAGCTGAGCGCTCATTGGTGGGCTTTACCCCGTGCTGGGGATGAAACTCTCCAATTGGCTCGGCAAAAGTGTGTTGTTGTTTTGTGTCAGTTTTACGTCGCCACTTCCATTCACATTTTTCATCATTGTTCCACAATGTTTATCATCATTAAATGAATATCTATATATTTGTATACTATACTTGCACTGCTTACCGTTGTCATACTTTATATATCTTAGCATATTCATACAACACACTGTTCATACTAGGCTAGGCTACTGTGTATAGTGTATTCATACCCCTCACTGTTTATTCATCATTCAATTCATTCTATATTTTATTCTGTAGATTGTGTACATTACTTTTCACTTTACTGCTTTATGCACTCCTGGTTAGAAGCTAAACTGCATTTCGTTGTCTCAGTACCTGTAATCTGTGCAATAACAATAAAGTTGAATCTAATCTTGAGCAGGAACAAATGTATTTACTTAGTACATATCTGACATTAACGATTAAACACATTTGTCCATTCTTTATCAATCAATCAATCAATCAATCAATCAATGTTTATTTATATAGCCCAATATCACAAATGTTACATTTGTCTCAGTGGACTTCACAGTTTGTACAGAATATCAGTATGACAATACGACACCCTCTGTCCTTACGTTTCACATCATACAAGGAAAAACTTCCAGAGAAAAACCCACAGTTTAAAGGGGAAAGGAGAGCAACAGAGGAGGGATCCCTCTCCCAGGACGGACAGACGTGCAATAGATGCCGTGTGCATTTATAAATGCAAACCGAGTCAAGCCGACTCCGGAGGTGGCAGTATGCAAAGTTGTTTGAAATCTGCCAAAAAACCGAGAAAAGAAGAAGAAGAAGAAGAAGAAGAAGAAGCCGACTCCGAGCTGTCCGACTTCAGGCGAGCTTTTTGAGACCTCCCCCGGCTGCGATCGGCTATTCTCGTCTACTTTCGAGGCGAGCCGCAGCTCGTCTCAAACAAGCCTAATATCAATCGATCCAGCAGAGCAATAGCCTATAGGCAAAACACAGAAGATCAACAAAAGATATGACATAAAATGAACTTACCAAAGCTGAAGTAGATGGTCAACTTCATTCATTTTCTTTCCGTTTTACTGATTTGAATCGCTATAAACTGCTCTCTCTCGTCTCCTCTTCACACACAATTACTATTTTCGCGGCACACGTACTTACAGCCAATCAGCTCTCTGAATTATGAGATGACGTTTGGTAGGTATGTCAGCACAGTGTCCCATGGTGATTATTTTTTTGCCGCACACATTGAATGGAAAAATACTTTATATAGTTTTTGCAGCACCCATTCACTTATGGCGCATTCCCACTGCAGGGCCTGGCACGGCTTAGTATGGTATAGTTAGGCCTTGGTAGGCCAGGCTCACTTTATGCTGCGTTTCCATTACAGTTTAGGAACTGGGCAGTGGCGGCCGGTGGTCTTTTTTTTTGGTGGGGCTCTTGACGTACCGGCAGTGACCTACCCGGGGGACATTTTTTTCGAGAAATGACCCCTTAAATGATGACTTCTGGTGATGTTAGAGGGGGGGGGAAAGGAGAAATCGAGGCTTAAAAATATGAGAAGACTGATCAATACCTCCATAATCTTCAGTGTGGAAAATATTATTTATCAACCTGAACATCTACTACTTTACCAGGAATTTGTGTTCTCAGAACTGGTCTGTTTTTTTCTTTCTTAAAACTGTTCATGTTTTATGAACCAACACCTCCACCAAGTAGCTTTACAGTGAACTGCATGTGGGATATAAAATTAATAGCATCTTTTCAGTAGTATTAATTATAAATATTTAAGTGGTTCAATACAAGTCACTACAGCATTTCAAACTGAACTGTGAATAAATGCAATTTAAAAAAAATAACCACAGCACAAAATGTCATAAATTGTGTTTTTTCTTTGTTTCTCTGAGGATTATTTACAAACAGGCTTATTTACATATACACTGAAAAAAAGGACTTTTTGGCTTTGTAAATATTACTTTGATTATATGTTTAAATTCTACAATACATTAGTATTTCAGTAATTTTACTCCAAATGTCTCCTTTTATTTAATGTGTTACTTGTGTTTCTATGTAATTTTGAATCTTCATTTTGATAAGTGAATTTTAACAATAGCACCAAGTAAATATTACCTAAATTATTGTATTGACTGTACAACCTGTTAAAGCTATTAAAATGTACATGGGAAATGCAAGTTAACTGTGGGTGACGTCATAGGAGAGTATTTCCCGCACGTTGCCCCCGCAGACATGCACGGACAGTCTACTCAGAAGGTTGACATTTGAGTGGAACTTGAAGACTGCTTGGTCGACCATTTCATTTGAATATTCATCGATGTGGAGTCATGTGAGTATGTTTATGTGCTTGGTTAACTTGTTATATTCCTATTAGCTTGTCAGCTGAAGTCAGTATTTGGTTATTAAAAATGTAAGGCTAAGTTAGCTAACATTAGCTGGTTAACTAGCTCATTATCGTGCTAGCAAACTTAGCCCGGTTTCATGCAAGTTGCACACATCAGATATAATATATTTTTTTTAATGGCTTATTTGAAGCTTCAAAGTTGTCGGCTACGACAACATTCGCCGTTTATAATGGAAACTATGGCGCACTTTTAAAAATTTGAATAGTTTTTTATTTCGGGAGAGGGGGGTGTTCATGGCTCCAGCTCGACAAAAGAAATACTCAACAGTATGTGCGACGCTACGTGATGCGGTCAGTTTCACTGCAGCCTAGAGAAGGACAAAGTGGTCAAGGAATATTATATTTCCAATTAAATATGAACAGCGCGATTTAAAAGGTAAGTGTGTCTGTGTGTTTGCCTCGATGGATTCACTGTTGGCGCTTTTCCAGTGCAGCACTTAGCACAGTTTGGTTTGACCCGGCCCGTAACAACATACTGATACCGGTTAGTAAAAACCATGAATTAATGCTTTGACAAGTCTGCGTTTTGTACTTGTTTCACTTTTGTCTAGTTTCTGAACAAATATGAGGAGCTGTGAGCTCTGAGTGCTAACAGCTAACGGCTGATGTTCCGGTGTGAACGCGGCTATTGAAGATTCCTGCAGTACAGGAAGTGACGATCCTGAACACGTTTTTTTCCCGGCCCCCCGAAGGACTCATCACGGAGGTGATGAGTCCGCTCACCATGCACTTTGGGTCGGCCTTGGTCAAGCCCTTTTGACCCCCCCAGCCTGGTTCTCGTAAAAGCCATTTTTCGCTCAAATGATACCATGGAGGAATGTAACGGGAGTTGACAGGGGACTCTCCCCGCCTCACGAGTGCCTATTTTCGGACACTTTTTTTCACATTTTCCCCGGTTCTATTCATTTTTATTTTGTTGGCTATTTCACCCGGTTCCTTCTAACTGGGACACTGCCCGGTCCGGGTGTCCCCCCACGGCCAGTGTCCAGCCCCCCCTCCCACTCATCCATATATTAACAGATTTTGACATGTTTTGTTGCATTTTTCTCCTCTCCGCTCTGTGATCGAATGGCAAACGCGACCCACCATGCCCACGGCCTAGTTCTGCTGCTCTGGCGGTTGGTTCTTCCGAACTGCGGGTTCGACTCTGATGACCGGGAGGGTGTGCTGCGTTGGGGTGGGGGACTTCCCCCACTTTGCGTGTCTCTTCCTTCCCGGCCGGCCGACGACGCACGGTCTGACGGGTCCCACCACGGGTCCCGCAGCGGGGTAGAGGTTCAGGGCTGGAACCTCCCCACCTCCGCCGCGGTGCACCCGGCCAACACGGTTGTTTGTCGAACCCGCCACTGTTGTCTAGCGGGTGTAACTATACAAGATATCGTTATTTATTTATATAAAAAAAAAAATATATATATATAATAAGTGTCATTGCGATTTTATTTTGTATTAGCGTGCATTTCCTGTTCGGAAAGTGGTGCTGTACTGAGAGTAAACAATACAATTGAAACAGTTGAGGGGAACGTGCACCTTTTGCACACAAACAAATTGCGTTTGTTTTGCTAATGTACCATTAGCTCCTGGGTTTTAGGCGGCGGAAGTGACGTAATCTGCCACCCAGGACAAGAGATAAAAATAACGCCATACTCAGAGAATGTATTCCTACGGTTTAAAACACATTATTGTACATTAAAGTTACATTCTGATGATTAGTGACATTTCATTTTATTTATTTCATTATTTGAAAAACAAAACACTTTCCACTAGGGAGGAAAAGGTCGGCGCCCTTTATTGACCAGCCGCCACTGATAACAATACTATTTCTGTGTCTCATATATATTCATCCTTTCATATATATATATATATATATATATAT